GCTATTATCAGAACACGCGAGCATAACATAGCGGTTAGCAGATCAATGAATGAGAGGGCAGCGTTACCAGAGTTACCCATTTACCACACCATGTTACAACACAGTAGAGCTATTGCAGACAGAAACAATACTGTACTACATCGATGTTTCCTGTCAGCTCTATTTTTGAGTGGACTCTGCTGTTCCGATTCGCATGAACGGTATACGAGTGGAGCGACTGAGCAGAGCGCACACGCATAGAGCGGGATAATACGCAGAGCGTCATTCCACGTGAAAGTGAAACCTGAGCGGTGAACTAATTTTCGGCAGCCGAAATTTCGGTGCATCTCTAATTATTGGCGACATCAGAAATGTATATTATATAATAGATGCTTTTTTGAACATTTTAGCTATTTAAAAATATTAAAAAAGGATTTTTTACACGGCACCCCTGCTCTCGACAGACGGCACCCCGGTTGGGAAACACTGTTCTAGACATTCTCAGGACTCAACAATAAGGATGGCCCAATGATCCAGGGCCAGTGCAAGAGAGTTTCGGGACAGATTTCATCAGATTTTATTGACTTGTCATGGTCTTGGAAGCATCCTGAGAACGTGTTACAATTGTAATGCTTTGCACTGTTTTCCAGCAAGAGATTATAAACGTATAGTTATTATGCAGTAATCATAAAACATAACATTAAAAAAAAAAAAAAACACAAAATATGGAAAAAAAAACTGACAAATATAAAAATAAATAGGTTTAAAATAAACCATTAAAAAAAAACTTACTATCAAGCCCTGCTAATATTCTGAAGAGGCTTAAATCAATTTTCCTCAAGTTTAAATGTCCCTTAATTAAGGGTAGAATAAAGATTAAATGTCAGTTTCCATTCTCACATCCCTCAGCACTGTCTGCGCACTCTTCTCAGGGGGGGAAAAAAACCCTCTCTCACCTAGAAATTGCACCCCGAAGTAACATGCTTCTGTAAGTAGCGTCCATTGAATGATGACCTTTTCTGCTGTGTAGAAGCCATTCCACAGAATTAATGAGATACCTGTTGAGAAGAGCAAAACACTCAGAGTCAATTCTGAAATCATCCAGGTAGAGACATTAAAGGGGGCCTATCTATTAAATATAATGCAGAATCTCATCAAAAACACCCAAACACTTAGGCACGGAATTAAAAAGCTTGAAATCTGGCCCATGATCAGAGGACCGATGCTGCCATGGGTTCTGATTCTGTTCAGGGAAAAAGCGCAGCGAGTCCTTCTGATCTCCTCCCACACTGCGGATACAGATAACACGGAGAGTAGCTGTTTCTTCAACCCTGCCAAGTGCCATCTGCCAGCACTATTTTTCCAGTCTTGCTTGAGTAATTCCCACCATCGAACTGGCCACTGATCTGACAGAAGAACACTCACACCTTGCATCGCCACAGAGGTATGAATTGTTTGTGAGCTAAACCAGGTGTCACACTGTATAAAGACCACTGGAGCTCAGTGAGGGGTCTAAACTGCAAAATACAGCCCTTCTAAAATTTGCATACTAATATCATGTGTACATGCAGCAAAGCTTCCAGGTCTCTGCTGCAGAATCATACTGATGAGCACTCGGACAGATAATGTATGTAATCACATTAGCATAATATTCTATATCCCTCACTGGTTAAGGCTGGAATCTAAACAAATTGGGGAGGGAAAACTTCTTTATGCTGAATTAGAGGCTGCGTTACGCTATTATGGAGAAAAGACAAATAGGCTGCTGTTCATAATGAAATAAGGGCATAGGGAGGGAAGGGATTTTATTTCCACAAAACAGTCTCTTTCACACACCCATAAGCCACCCCTGAAATCTTTTATAATACAAGACCTCCTACGGCTGACTGTAAACTCAAGCACGGGGTGAGCCTTGCATGTGCTGTTATTGTGAAGCATCCTGGGACCAGCAGGGGGGCACTCTGAAAGCCCTATGTGGCTAAATGGAATTGTATGGACTCATCCATTTTTAAAACAGAGGCATAAAATATTCATACCACTTGAAATCATACACTAATCTGGCAGTGAAAAGCTAATCTAGTCATGAATATTTCCTGTGAGTGGGAGACAGACCTGCACAAATGTGTTTACATTATGCATTTGCTATGCATAAATTGAGATGGAGTGGAAAAAGCGAAAGTGTATAGACGTGCATGTATATGCAACATGGCCAACGGTATGTGCAGAAATGCACATTTAAACATCCCTTTCCAAAATGATGGGGGTTAACATTGGTGGCCCGGATTACAAAGTGTCCTAACCGGGCCAATACATAAACATGCATTTTATTTCAACAATATCTTCAATGCTTTTACAAATGCCATACTTTTTTGGTTGTCTTTTTTTTTTTCTTAATAATATTTACTTTTTTTTTACTAGTTTATCTCATTATAGACTTGTTCGCTATTTACATGTGTAAAATAGTGAAATTCACTATATGTAAAGGGTTCCTTCATTTTTGTGGCAATGTAGTGTATGTGTAAGTCAGAACAGGCCACTTTGTTGTCATTATCATCCATTATAGTGTTACACTTTCTTCCTCCAAACCTAATCCCATAAAGCTGAACATACATAGAAGGGCTCCTCCGTAGAGTCTGATGGAGATCCTCGAGGTGGTGATCTCAAATATTATCTCGTAGAGCTGGCTGGGAAAAGCCAAGGCCTATAACAAAGAGAAGAAGGTCACATAATGAATGTAATGTTAAAGAAATTCTAGGGAGATGTGGCAAATCTGCAAAAAAATAAATTCTTTAAGATGACAGAAAAACAAGAAATGTAAAATGTTTTGAAAGACATTTCTTATTCTCAACAAGGCTGCATTTATTTGATCAAAACTACAATAAAAACTTTAATAATGTGAAAAATTATTACAATTTAAAATAACCATTTTTATTTTAATATATAGTATTTCAAATTTATAAATCGTATAAAAAGCTGAATTTTTAGCAGCCATTACTCCAGTCTTCAGTGTCACATGATCCTTCAGAAATCATTCTATTATGCTGGTTTGGTGCTCAAGTAAAATTCCTTATTATCAGTGTTGAAAACAGTGCTGGTTAATATTTTTGTGGAAACGGTACATTTTTTTTAGGATTCTTTGAAGAATAGACAGTAATTATTATTTAAAACAGATTTAACATTATAATTGGCTTTACTGTCACTTTTTATCAAATTAATGCATCCTTGCTGAATAAAAGTATTAATTTATTTAAAAAACGACCCCCAAGCTTTTAAACAGTATAATGTAAATGATTAAACAAAACACAATGATCATTATTTCATTTTGGAGCATGAGCTGTTACACATTTTGTTTGAACTGCTCACCATTAAGGATGTGGATGTGAACAGCACTGCAGAGATGAGGAGCCAGAGCCTGCAATGAGACAAGGAAAGACACAACACATCAAACCAGCTGGCCTCTAATAAGACACAAATGAGCCACAATCAAAACCCTCAAGGATTGGCAAAAAAAAAAAAAAAACTGCACAGAACACTGGAGCAATTACATTAGTAGGGTGTCTGATGTCACATGCAAAGACAGAGACAAGCCAAGTTGGTGGTCTGATATGAAGACAATGTCTTACCGGAGACCAATGGGCTCACGCACAGCAAACTTCATCTCATTACCCAACATCTGACTGATCTGCAAAATGAGAGAAATGTCAATATTAGCATGTAACACTATAACACATACGTAAGAAACATTAATGACTTTGATAAACATTACAATCTTTCTATACACAGACCAAGGTGGCATGAAAAATAGAGGCCCATGGTAGGAAAATGTCAAATTTAGGAAAACAGGCCTGACTCACAAAAGTAGGATTATCAGATTTGCTGATAGCACAAGCCTGCCAACACTGAATGGACCATGCAGAAGGACACGGTTTTATTTTGTGAAATTGGAAACTTTGGTGTAGAATCTGAAGGGACTGATAGGAAAGTTTGAGTTCTGCTTTAATTTAATAGGTCTATTTTGACAGCAGGCTGGGTGGTTTCACAATGATGGCTTTGTGTTCGTAAACCAGGCTGTGGGCCACAGGGGAGCACAGCTCCTTCACACAGAATCAGGCAGACACAGATAAGAATGTTGAAGGTGGTACAATATAATGCTTTCTTTGGGTAGCCTAACTTTCGTGATTCCATAAGTGACATGGAATATTGCAAGAAAATGCTCTGTTTAAAAGAGCATATGAGTAAGCAATTTTTTCATAAGGAGTCTAATGCTCACCAAGGCTGCATTTATTTGATAAAAATACAGTAAATTCAGTAATAATGAGAAATATTTTAATTTAAAATAACTGTTTTCTGTTTTAATATATTTTAAAATGTAATTTATTCTTTTGATGATAAAGCTGAATTTTGCTGATTTTGTGCTCAACACACTTAGTGCTCAAACATTTTTTTTTTTTCAATTTTGCAAACAGTTTTGCGTAATATGATTATGGAAACCATGATTCTTTTGATTTTATTTTCAGGATTCTTCAAAAGTTTGAAAACAAAATTTATTTGAAATAGAAATCTTTTATAACATCCTAAATGTCTTTAGTATCAATTATTTGCATCCGTTCTGAATAAAAGTATTAATTTCTTCAAAAAAATATACTGACCTCAAACTTTTGAAAGGTAGTGTACATTTTGTGTGTAAACATAAACAGGTGGTTGAGATAAGGTGGTCAACGAACCTTTCGCTAAGCCCGGCCCTTTAAGATTCACCCAAAAAAGAAAGCTCACCCAAAAAAGAAAATGCTGTCATTAATTACTCACCCTCATGTCGTTCCAAACCCGTAAGACCTTCATTCATCTTCGGAACGCAAATTAAGATATTTTTGCTGAAATCCGAGAACTTTCTGACCCTCCATAGACAGCAACGAAACTACCACGTTCAAGGCCCAGAAAGGTAGTAAAAACATCATTCAAATAGTCCACGTGACATCAGATGTTCAACCTTAATTTTATAAAGCTTCGAGAATACTTTTTGAGAGCAAAGAAAACAAAAATAACGATTTTATTCAACAATTTCTTCTCTTCTGTGTCAATCTTCAACGTGCATGGTTCCACTGCTGTCTATCCAGGGTCAGAACGCTCTTAGATTTAATCAAAAATATCTTAATTTGTGTTCCGAAGATGAACAAAGGTATGGAACGATATTCCGGATAATTTTCAAAAGGAATTGCAAATTGTATTTTCAATTGCGTTTTCCATATGTGGACGCATAAATTGTGACCTAATCCAAATGCAATTCCAAATCCGGCATTACCGTTTGCATTTTCGCTTTCGCGAACGCACAGTGACTGCCAAATTTCAAATGAAAAGGCAAAGTCCATTTGCAACTGTATTTCCCATGTCTTAGGAGTTACGAGCCTGTCATATTTAAATAGCAATATTAATTACCAGTCTGCTTTTGCACTGTCTGTTTGTTTAAGTGCATCAAGTGGAGTGCAAACGGTAAAAGGTCTTGAGGCAGGTGTGACACGCTCTCTATTACGGATTAAAAGTGTAAGTGAGTGAGAGATTCTGAGACAGGTGAAAAGCATTTGGTTAATAGTGAATATTGACCTATTGTGCGTACCGTTGTGGCTCCCGCTGTTAGCAGGGGATAATCGCTACATTTGGGGTAAAAAAGACATAATTATGTATTGTGCCAAGAAGGTTGCACAGTCTATTCGTTCACACAGGTACGAAACTGTTTGGTAGCTGCCTTTAGCGGAGCCTTTACCGATTACCTCCATTGATCAGAGCATTCGGCACGGTCGTCTGTGAGTGACGTCACCTCCCAATACAAACACGCCCCATAGTATAGTCCCCGCCTCACTAAAAGCCTCCGCAGCATGGGTAAATTAGTGTTGATGAAAACCCGATCCGTTTCTGATGGGAAGCTGTGGTGCTGAAATCCTGGCTAAAGGCCATTTTATAAGGGAAGCAAGAAAGTGATGGAGGGTTAGCGGAAGATAATTTTGTAAAGTGATTGCTGTGGCCTTCAAAACACGGTCCTGATTGGTGCTAGCATGTGAACTTCATGTAATATTTGCACTTTCTTTAAACCTAATACATTTTCTTTGTTGTGGTAGGCCCCTTTAAGAAAAAAGGAGTGTTTCCGTGCACCCTATAGTACGAAGTGTGTTTGTATGGGGACGTGTGTCACAGCAACTGTTTTAGCCTCTCAGGAGCACAGAAATAGTAATGGCTTACAGTAAAACTGATGTCATAGACAAACTGACATCAGCCGTTTCTGTTTAGTAAATATTTAGTTCTACAGGTTTAGCTTATTGTAATATCTAGACTTGGAACATTCATTCAACTGATATTGCCAAAGCAATTTGTTGAGACTTGATGAACAAATGCTGCTGTATTTACCCAGTAAACAGCAGTAGCTAATACGGTGCACCATTGATTATTCTCAGGAGAAAAGTGATTTCAGAGATAAAGTGCGACATGCTTTAAAGTGTAAAGCATGTCACACTGAGAAACAAAGCATGTCATGTGCTATGGAGACCATCACTCAATCGACACCTCGCTCTGGTTGTTTCTGGGGGGGTTAACACATCTCGACAACTGCTGGGAACAGGGAGAACTCTGTTTTCTCATAAGACCTGTAATGTCGGAAGCTACACAGTACGTTCGTCTGACCGCAGTATCGCAGCAACTGGGCTGATAGCTTGTTTTAGTGACAAGCTAATGTGGAAATTAAACAGAGTGCTTCAAACACATCATGGTGCACATTATCATGTTAATTGGTGGACAGAAAAATCAATATTGTAAAAGCGCAAGTCCTTCAAGTAATGGGTCAAATCATTTTCTACCACAGAAAAATTTTGTACCCAAAAAGCATGATCTATTTTAAATGGTGAAACTGTTCAATTATTAAAGGAATAGTTCACCCAAAAATGAACATTTGCTGAAAATGTACTCACCCTGAGGCCATTCAAGATGAGTTTGTTCCCTCATCTGAACAGATTTGGAGAAATTCAGCAATACATCACTTGCTCACCAGTGGATCCTCTGCAGTGAATGGATGCCGTCAGAATGAGAATTCACACAGCTGATAAAAACACCACAATAATCCACAAGTAATCCTCATGACTCCAGTCCATCAATTAACGTCTTGTGAAGTGAAAAGCTGCATGTTTGTAATAAACAAATTCATCATTAAGATGTTTTTAATTTCAAATGAGTCCTCTGTAATAATTTAATTTCAAATGAGTACGCCATAATATTGCTTCCTCCAGTGAAAAGGTCGTCTCGTCTGAATCAGAAGAAAAATATGCACAGACAAGCACAGTTTAGAAGCCAAAACAGTTGTAAACAAATATGGTGGTGGATTTTGATGTGACAGGACAATGATTTTTCACTGGAGGAAGTGTTATTATGAATTATGGACTGGTATTTTGGCCAGAAGCAACAGTTTAAAGTTAAAAAATCTTGATAGATTTGTTCCTTTAAGTGGATTACATGTAGATGTTTTTATCAGCTGTTTGAACTACCATTGTGGCGGTACCCATTCACTGCAGAGGATCCATTGGTGAGAAAGTGATGTAATGATGAATTTCTTTAAAGTCTGTTCAGACGAAGAAACTATTCCTTTATTATGAACTATTCTTTTATGATGAAGTATTCCTTTATTATAGAATCCCTTAAAAGCTCATGGAGAGTTGCATTTATGAATACACCTCCAGCCATTATGGCGTTGTCTGAGCCATCTCTGTTGAAACAGAGGGTGATGGGCGACTGCCCCTTAATGGATGTTGTCTTTGATCTTTCTCTGTGACCCTACCCAGAGTTTGATGCACAATGCAGGGGCGGAGAAGGGTGACCATGTCTGAGTGGCGCCCATGTTTCATGTGGTCTACCTCAAAGCCCCATGAGTTTTAATAGCACTGAGCGTGAGGTGGGCAGTCGTGCCAATAAGCTCTCATTGTGGGTTATTCATGGTGGTGTAACGTGACTGCACGCTGGCTTCAAGATGAGTGTGAGGGGCCAATTAGTGTCCTACAGCCGAGCTGCGTGCCACACTGTGCCACAACTCATCTAGTCAGCCACCTCTCCCATAGCAGGTGTGTCCCTAATGCACAATAAATGTGTGGATCATGTGAAGTAACCCCACCTCCCATGAAGGAAAATAGCTCTGTATGCAATTTATTCTATCATTTATAAATTGCGTCAACAGAAACATATTAATGATAAACAGCTTCTAAATGTGATGCTTAGGAAAAACAGGCAACTGGAATTCACAACCCAAAAATAATATTTTATAATATATAATATATATTATTAATAATAATAATAATATATAATATTTTTTTATATCTGTATATATATATTAGGGCTGGGCTATTTTCTGGCTATTTTATCGCGCATTAACGCAGTTTTTTATTATTATGAAAGTCCGTTGCTCACTGGCTCTGACTACACATACAGACAAACCATGGATCACAGAAGGGGTGGGATGTTAATCAGTACTGGCTTGGGATGGGCGTCTCAACCAATGAGAGCATTTGGGGTGGGCCTAAGACTGCTGCAGCGCTCACATGAAGCGCTCACGACTTCATAAGCGGGAAATAGGAAGTTTCCAATAGCACGTGAAGACAGCAAAGAATAAGCGCTCTCGCTCAGCACAGTGGAATGAATCATTTTGTTAACTTTGTGGTTTATTATTTTGAGTCGTTTGGGACGCGGTAACACATGGCCCTCTCACAATATATTGCTTTACAGATCTATCACTTTTGCCGTTCAGATATGTTAACGCAATCATGCTGCACGTATCAGAAGTTCCGCGCTCCGACACTACATGCGTATCGCGCCTGAGCGTGGCACGGAGCAATCACACTAGTCAAATGAACCGGGCTTTGGGGGTCAAACGGTTAAGATTGCCTAGTGAGAGTAAACCCTTACTCTCCCGCATCCCGCACACACGAGTCTCTACCCGCCTGCACTCGCCCATCAAGTGTTGTCTCGCGCCGCACTCTGTTGCGTTGGGTCCCGCGATAGTGCAGGTCTCTACTCGGACAGTGCCGGTGTTATGATCGAGGCTCTGGACTCTGAGCATAACTTGTTTTTCTATAACAAACTATAAAATATTTTCTATAAAAACGTTAACCTGGCAGTGGCAAAAAGCTTTGGTTTATGTTAGTTGTAATAAGTTGAGATTTACAATAAATATTTTAACTGCTACTATGTAAAAGGAATACTGCTGTAAAAAAGCACCTTATTTGTTTAAAGTGTTTGCAAACCAAATGCTATTGCACTTTTATTCATATAGGAGTACTTTTAAATGAAAAAAGTGCACAATACGCTATACTACTTTTGAATTTGAATTGTGCATAATGTGATTAATCGTAGAAAATCATGTGATTAATCGTGACAACAACAAAAAAAAAAGTATCGTTGCCCAGCAATAATATATATATACAGTGGGTACGGAAAGTATTCAGACCCCCTTAAATTTTTCACTCTTTGTTATATTGCAGCCATTGCTTCTACTAAATACTGAGCAAAGGGTCTGAATACTTAGGACCATGTGATATTTCAGTTTTTCTTTTTTAATAAATCTGCAAAAATGTCAACGATTCTGTGTTTTTCTGTCAATATGGGGTGCTGTGTGTACATTAATGAGGAAAAAAAATTAACTTAAATGATTTTAGCAAATGGCTGCAATATAACAAAGAGTGAAAAATTTAAGGGGGTCTGAATACTTTCCGTACCCACTGTATATATATATACAATTTAAATAACAATACTAAAAATATATTCAATATTTTATTAATATATTGAACAATATTTTGAATAATAATGCACAAAAAATCTTTCAAATATTGTTATCATTATTAAATAAGCAGATAAATAAATGTGCTTACTGCTGAATGAAGAAATTATATGAATGATAAAATATATTACAAAGATTTACATATAATATTATTTTTATATTTTTCCTTTTCTTGTACTATACTGTAGGGCTGGACCAGAATATTCGATTATTCGAATATTCGTTCAGTGGATTGACATTCGATTTTCAATTTTGAGATTCGAATATTCTTCTTCTTCTTCGAATATTCTTCTTTTTTCGAACACCTGGCATCCCCCGTGAAACGGTTCTCATTCGCGCTTGAATATGAATCGCCCATGAGTGAACCCTGGGCCATGAGTTTGTCCGTTCTCGGAGCATATAAGCCCTGCCCGTGTGAGGCGCGCCGCTTCCGGCTCACACTGTTCTGTAGTTTATTAATTCTGAACGTGTCACGTGTCCATATTGCACCAAAATGCGACACTGCACTCCCTTTGGTCCGCACCCACACAACCAACACCCATAAACATAAACATAAACACACCCACCACGCGTGAAGTCGATTGGATGAACGGTTCTCGAATCTCGACATAATAAAAATGCAAACAGACAGACAGACACACAGAGATTCCTGCCTTTATTAGAGAGAGAAGAATATGTTCAGCCCCCTCACTCCAAAGCTTCGAATATTCGGTGTTGATTACTACCGAAGCTTCGAAGCTCAAAAAATGGTATTCGGACCAGCCCTATACTGTTATACTGGATATGAATAAAAAATACTCTCTTTCATGAATAGCTGCTATTGAGGTCAAATATAAAGATGCAGGCAAGTGGGAAGTTACCTTTGACCTGTGCACCTCTCCGTCATCATCCTCCCCACCGACACCCAGGACCTTGCGGGACTTGAGGCGACTCACAAGATCAGTTTGACTGTGCTTCTTCATGAGAGGTGGAGGTGTAGAAGCCATGGCAGTGGAGGAATGCAGGCACTTCAATGAGCTGTCAGAGGGACTGAGGAAACGATAATACATCAGCAGGAGCACTTTCACAGAACTGTTTGTTCCTAGTATTCCAGTAACAGAGAAAAAAAATATACACAACAAGTAATATGCAGGGTTTGTGAAATGTACCAACAGCATGCCATTTTGTTTCACATCTATGACTAAGAGTAATCATAGCTATCAGTAAGGATTTTCTAAAGGCAAAACAAAACAAGACAGCAATAGAAAAATATATAAACATTGTAGTGTGACCTATTGAAACAAGCCCACATCCTCCCACACAGACGCACACACAAAGATCCAGAGGAAACTGTGTAGGCTGAATAGGGATATACTAAAAACATTTTAAAAAGACTGCAAAAAAAAACAAAGTTATATCTCCACAGATTTCCCTTACAATGTCCTTCATTCACAAAATTCTATATATTACCCATGTCTCTTGCATGTTTGTAACATACACTATTCTGTTAAAAATTTTGGGGTTGGTAAAATGTTTTTAAAAATACATTTTTTAGTCAGCGCCAATAGCCCTGTGGGCAGTGCACTGATACATAGCGCTGTTGCACTGCGGGCGTCCAGAGTTCGAATCCCAGCTTGTGGACCTTTCCCAATCTCACCCCCTCTCACTCTTCCACATTGCTTCCTGTCACACACTACACTGTCCTATCTAATTAAAATGCAAAAAAAAAAAGGTTTCTAATATTCAAAAAGGCTGCATTTATTCGATCATTCGATTCTGTAAACCTGTAAAATTATTTTTACAAATTAAAATGTTTAATATATTTTAATATAGTTCAGCAGCCATTACTTCACTTTTCAATGTCACATGATTCTTTAGAAATCACTATGATATGCTGATATATGATGCTCAAAAACATTTTTATTAATGTTAAAAACTATTTACAAAAAAATATGTTTTTGTGGAAACCATGATAAATTATTTAGGATTATATGATGAATAGAAAGTTCAAAAAAACCACATTTATTAGAAAAGTAAGTACATTATAAAATGTCTTAACTCTCAATTTCATGGACCCTGAATAAAAGTATCAACTCTATTAAACACATTTTACGATGCTTAAACTCCAAAATCAGCATAGACAACACAAAAACATCATTATAACTTTACATTTTTGTTGTTTTTAATGTAGGTATCAATTATAGGAGAGTGCATATAACCAAACATAAAAATTCGATATTCCAAAAAAATGACCATAAACATTGGGTGCATGACTCGGTCATGCATTACACTTTACAGTCAATAAGCTTTGAACAGCATGAAAGAATTTCATTTTTAGGCGGGAATAACTATACACATTATGTCTCATCAGTAGGAAATGTTATCCTGTATATAGAACACACTTTCAAAAAAGTTCAAAGACTGCAGATTTCTGCAGCACAGAGGGGTAGAGGACATGTTTCTCTGATATCTTGTGCAGACTGCTTATTGAACAACCCAAAGCCTGTCTAATCTAATTGATTAGGTTTGGTGTTAATGAATAGAGCTTGATTCATGACAGCAGCTGCCCCATGTTGATCTCAACTCTTCAGCCCTCGATCTAATGAGGACAGAAAGCACAGACTGAGGCTGCTCAGCTTATTGTGAGACACTAGATGCTGCTTACTGCTAAAAGATTAACTGATGTTGCCGAAGGAGAACTGCAGGGTTAAAACTCTTGTTCTATTCCATTACTCAACCCAGTCCCATTAAACTGAGCAAGGCAGCTAACAAAAAAGAAAGAGGAAAAACTGCAGCCACTTGCCAAAATAGAGCACAAATTTCCTTTACTGAGGCATTTAACCAACATCTGCCAGTAGCCTACTAAAGAGCTTTTTTATTAATTATTTTAATTATTTTAATTAATATTAATGCATTTCTAAATGCTATTAACATGGTCTCTAAAGAGATATAATCCCACTGACATAAATAATGAAAGTTAAGTAGGCTTTTGGCTTTAACCCTATGGGATTCATACTTCAACTTTAACGCTCTAGTAAAAGTAGGGATGCACTGAATGTTCGGCAACCGAAATGATTCGGCCGAAAATAGCAAAAAAATCTCTTTCGGTGTTCGGCCGAATAATATGTACCGAACAATGACTAACGCGATCAAATAGAGGCACTAATGCAGCAAACATGTCAGCAGTGTGAAAGCATTTAAAACTATCAGAGAAAGACGCAGAAATCATTACAAGCACAAAGCACCGACAGCGAGAGACTGTTTAGTGCTGCATTACATGTCTCCGATGAGAAGAAGAGGTGGCTGATGCTGGTGGTTAGGCTACTGTATGATTATTGAAATCGCGAAATGGCCTCAAACGATTAGTAAATAAACTGCAGAATGTTATATTTTCTAATGCACGCACGAATTGCATGTATTCTGACAGCGCTGCACAAGCTCGCGGCACCAGGGTTCAAAGTCCAAAGCGCTAGGAAAATCTGCGCTAAAACGGTGTTACTCGTCAGTTGCTCAGTAACATTTTTGTGAATTTTTTTAAAGGCATGTGACAGTGTGATACGTGCGACAAACATCTTCCCAAATTCGTAATGAGAATCATTTATAAATCTGCATGCTGTTGTCAACAAAAAGAAGCACTGAGATCTTCCTGCGGGTTTCTGCCAAAATAAAAGCTGAGAAAAAGCAACAACTCCATCAACATTCATAAATGTTAGTAATGTAATTTTACTGTTGTTCTGTAAAATAAAATAAAAAAGTAAGAAAATAATCATGTTAATGATTATTTAATGCCTTCGGCCCAGTGTTTCATTTTGTTCGGCTTCGGCCAAGAATTTTCATTTCGGTGCATCCCTAAGTAAAAGTAAAAGTCTGTTATGGGCTTTCACAAAGAATTCTCTGCAATATTCCAGGACAGTATGTTAATACAAAATGATAGAACACAGTGACAAAAAGTCATCAAACAACTCTCATAAAAATATAAATTCAGTGAGATACACTTAACCATATCAATTATTCATGCCACAGTTTATGCTGGGAAGACTGCAAATGTGACTGAATCATAAGCATTTTTCAGTGTAGCCCTATAGCAAAGCTGGGTTGGTGCAATAACAGTCAACAATAAACAACAACAATCAAGTAAATCTTTGACCTTTTTTTCCAGCATTTTTACTTCGAAATATATTTTTTACAATGCAGAAATCAATTCACCAAAAGATTGTCACAAATCAATACTGAAATAGACACTATGCAAATCCATATACATTGCGCTAACTGTCATCAAGCATCTTAATATTATACAAAAAAAAAAAAAACATGACATGACAATGAGCGATAAACTTGACATTCATCCTTTCATCAGTATCCTTTTTTGAATAGGTGCATATCACAGTCCCAGCTGCTAATGAAAACTGGTCTCACCACCTGTTCATTTCACAGCAGTTATTTTGACATTTGGACCCTTCAGCCTGAGAACCCTAAGCAGAAAATATATAAAAACTAGGCTGCGATTTATCGTGCAGCCCTAATACAAACCCCTCAGGCTATACAATACAACACCATTATAAATGCAAACCGTAAACTGTCTGCTCTATCCCTTTTATTCACAGTCTGCCATCCATGACAACTCATCCAATTGTTCTTCAATCTCATATCATTATCTTCACAGCAAACGTTAAGTTGCTTCAGTTGCCTAGTAACACAAATGGTATGAACTTTGTGCCTTTTATATGATCATAAAGATATTCAGGGATCATGCCTCTCTAATCATTAATCAGCTATTTGAGGTTGGCTGTTATTAATGATGTGCCCTCCATTCAAATTTTGAGCGTCTCATTTCCTCTATGTCATTGTATTTACGTTTAAAAAACGGTTTTATGAAGCGCACAGAGGCCAAACATTTTAATTCTAGATTAGTCGCGTGCTTATAATGTGTCGCTTAATCATCCCAGTGTTTGCCAACACATTTAAACTGACTATTAAAAAATGATTTTACATCAGGTTGTCAATTCTTCAATTTATTTTGAAGGATGACAGGTATTTTTGATTTTGTTTACTTGTACAATATGGATGCACAAATCATTTGGGAAAAGAGTTAGATTTGGAAGATAATTGCTTAGAAGAGATCTGAAAGAGGGAGCAATAAACACTAAAATGTACCCACAACAAACTATTTAATTATCTATTTTGCTGACAGCACCAGAATGACTGAAATGATGATGAATCAGCCTGAAGGATGAAACTGGCTGACCTGGTAATTTGGTGCAAGAACAACAACCTCCCCCTAAAGATGAAGCAAAAACTAAATTAAACTGAAATAATATGAATGTTTTTACTGTATTTTTAACAAATAAATGCAGCATTTAGTGTTGTCACGGTACCAAAATTTCAGTATTCGGTACCAATACCAGTGAAAATCCACGGTTCTCGGTACCAATTTCGGTACCAAAGCAGAACACAAAAACATGCTAATTGAACAACATTTTTATTAATAAAGTTAAACAAAAATTAAATGTACAAAACCAATGCCATTCTTTATACTTATTTAAAATTGTTTCACGTTTTCCCACAAGTAATAAAAGTAAGAAAAAAGTAAACAAGTTTCACCCAAAAGTTTAGTCATAGTTCTGCTGCCACTGAAAAACATCTGTAAACTAAGCAGCCCAATTCCGCGGGAAAACCGAGGACTTGGCAACACTGGAAGAGGATAGCTTTCGGATAGCGCATCAAGAACCGGGTTGACTGGGTACTCGGTACCACCGGTACTTAAAAAAACCTGGTACCGTAACGTTTTCATTTTTTTTAGGACCGACTTGGTACCGAAATACCGGGTCTTTTGACAACACTAGCAGCATTGGTAAAAGTTTTATAACAGTAGTGTACAAAAAAAATGAAATAAAGTATTTTAAGCTCTGAACCAAGCCACTCATAAAAAATGTAGTAACTTATGCAATTCAATTCAATTCAAATGTAAGCGAAGTCCATAAAGTGGATGTGAGTTATTAAAATATTACTGATGTGCACTGAATTCAGCTTTTGCATTCCTTGTTTTTCATGCTGAAGATGATGCTACAGAAATCTTCACAAAAAAAAAAAATGTTGATGAATTACTCTTCAATTACACATCACATATACAATACATACTATATGTACACATTTGTGGTTTCACTAAGGCAGTTACATCCACACACATTAGTTTCTAAAGAGTTGGCAGAGGCGTTTACCTCATTGTCATGCAACGGTTCATGATTAAGTCTGATTATGTCAGGGTTTGATGGAAAAATCACACCAGACTTTTCAAACATTCCATGACCCGATAACCAGCGATTGAACATTCTGTGCAAAACACCAACAAACGGCAACCCATATACTGATCCAACTACACCTGCTGGAAGTCTATTGAGACTTTGCAAGTAAATGCTGATACTGCAGGGCATCACTAAATAATTCTCCATCTCAGCCCCTACCCTCCACTTCCCCCCCATGACCAATACAATCTGTGGCATCTTAACTTACTACCATTATCAAGAAGGCTTCTCCCGCTTCCATTACTAGCCTCTCTGGAATACTTGAGATCCCATCTGCACTATAACCTGCCTACACATACATCACTCCTACACAGCACACCAACACTGTACTCTGCATAGTCTAGCTAAATATAAATTCACGTCCATTCGATTTCTTTTCTATTTAAATTAAATTACATCTAAATTCTGGGGTTATCATAGAGATGGAGTCAGAAAATGATTCAGTCTACTGCTCCTTTAAGGATAAATATTCAGTAAATAACATAAAATGTACATAAATGTTAAAAGACATTTAAAGGGATAGTTCACCCAAAAATGAAAATTCTGTCATTAATTACTTACCCTCATGACATTCCAAACCTGTAAGATCTTCGTTCATCTTCGGAACACGATTTAAGATTTTTTTTATAAAATCTGAGAGCTTTCAGCCTGCGTAGACAGCAACACAACTGACACGTTCAAAGCCCAAAAACGTAAGGACATCATTAAAATAGTCTATGTGACATCAGTGGTTCAACCATAATTTTATGAAGCTACGAGAACACTTTTTGTGCACAAAGGAAACAAAAATAATGATTTTATTCAACAATTTCTTCTACTCCATGTAAAATTTCGACACGTGTTCACAACAGTACCATGACATATGCGTGTGCATTCCTCTGCTTGTAAACAAGACGCAGCGCATCCGAGTTCTATGTCAGAACACCGGCTTCTGCGTCAGCAGCATCATACGCATGCGTTGTCGTACTGTTGTGCACATGCGGTGGAGACTGACGCAGAAGAGAAGAATTGTTGAATTGCTGTCTATGCAGGGTCAGAAAGCTCTTGGATTTCATCAGAAATAGCTTAATTTGTGTTCCGAAGATGAACAAAGGTCTTGTAACGGCATGAGGGTGAGTAATTAAAGACAGAATTTACATTTTTGGGTGAACTATCCCTTAAAAGAAGTGATTGCCCAAAATATTTAATTCTGTCATAATTTACTGAAACAATTATGTCTACAGGACTTAAAAAATCTGAATGGATTTTAGAATAAGTCATCATACACTTGTCGACTGTAAATGGTCACAAAGAAAAACTACATTATACAATAAATGACTAAGGATCACACACTACCAGATGGGCTCCAGACAAAAAAAATCGAGTAAGGAGCCATTGGCTCCTATAAGAAAAAATCTTAGGCACCAAATTGTGTTTTTAGGTGCCACAGAATAACTTTTTTTTTTTTTTTTACATTTCAATCATCACTTGCCCACGGAGTGTAGTTTGGGCTCCTCCTCAATGCATCCTATAAATGTTGTCACATGTCTTTCACACATTCAGTCTGTTTTTCTTCATTAGTAAAATGCAATTTTCTAGGAGGAGTTGAATCATGTAGACAACAGGTTAAGTAAAAATATTAATATGCAATAGTGCATAAATATAGCTCTTCTTTATAGTTATTTTTCTAGCTGACTGATGAGCTTATGGACACCTAATGGTTATTCTGAGGTAAATGTATATTACGTTGCAATGTTTACAAGCTTTACACGTTTTCCGCAGTTTGAAACACCGAATAAGCTTTTACATGAGACATTTCAGTAAGTGTTACTGTAGGCTCTCTTATAAAATAGCCTACTTTTTAAAGGTCACATATTTTACACCTTTCTGGAGGTGCACGGCCAGGCCAACCACAGGTAACTAGGGTCAGCCGACGTCACAGCGCTAGCTGGGGGCAGCAAAACAAAGGGGAAACTGGAGGCGGCCCATTCAAACCAGCGCAGATTCGGCTACATTAGGAGCTTAAAATATCATCTTGTTGTGATGTTGGGTGCCAGAATCAACATAATACAGCCTCAAATTAGATATTTGATCGCATATCTGCTGCCACTGCCAGACAAAAAACTACAGATTTCTTGCCATATGTTATTTGCATCTCACGATTATGTTGTGTATGAAATAATGTCTGTGTGCACGTGTATAAAACAACAAACTGACGATTTATATATAATCATTTGTAATTGTATATACATTGTTGTGATTAATTGTGGCTGGAACAATAATGTAGCTGTAAAAATAGTTGCCTGCTGAAATTGAAATGTATATACATCTTCATCATGACTAGATAGACACGGTGAGTTTGTCTTTACTATACATGTTAGATGTGATCCACCTCATAGTAACAATCCTGTCAGATCGTCCATCCTTTGAGTGAGAGTATAACATTACAGGTTGGCCGATCTGGTTTCGTGGTTAAAGTTAACCTTTTCGACATGTTTCTGTGTTGTCGTTGCTCAGCAATGGCATGGACGCGATGTTGTCTGGGGTTTGGCAAAAGGAGAGTGGGACGGTGGGCGGTGCTGGGGGTGGTGACTGAAGGCAGTGACTGTGTAGTTCTGACGTCAACTTTTTACGGAAGTCACAACGGTTCGTGAAAAATCACAGCTACTTTATGCAGGCTGTGTGCATTTTACTGTGGACTGACTGTTTTGAAACTTATATGGTAGTTACATAGCACCTAGACCTCAGTTATCATGAAAAAAGCCAAGAAATTTCAGTTTTGACAATATGGGACCTTTAAGGTTTATTCATCTTCATTATGTACTATAGTAGTAAATAGAAAGATATAATAGGTTCACTTGCTGCTTGAACTGAGGCGCTAATGCGATCACGCCTGCCACATTAAAGAGCGCCAAAACCATATTTATTGTTTGAATTTCGTTATGAATTTGGCATAATTTTAAAGCTGATACTTTTTTTATTAAAAAGTAACAAAGCACAAATCTTTTTACGATTACTGGATGGCAAGTGTGCTTCAAATAATATGAAGTTCACGCATTAACAGAACACAGCATATAGACTAAGATCTTGATAAGAAGAAGCCATATTAGTAATGATTATAAACAAGAATTGTTAACGATATTGACAATATTCACACAGCTGACTGACAGCTTTACCTGTTGTAGTTTGTTCAAGTTGAGCACGATATAGAC